AAAACTTGCGGCTGAGTTTGTTTTTTTCTGGTTGACCATGGTGTTTTTCTTATGTTCCTTCCCTTACTTGAGGAGAAACATTAACTGCATTTCAGTTTTTGAAACTTTTAATCTTCTAGTGTCGTGATTTTTCATGATGAACTTTGTTACTCTTTGAGGTTTTTAATCCGGTCAGAAGTGGGACATCATGCCTGCATTCTTTATCTCCCTTATCTTTTTTGTAATAGAGTAGCTGTAGAAAGGAATGTTTATGTGATCAATTTAATTTCCAGTAGAGGTAAAAAAAGAATGTGAAAATATCAATACGTTTAGTTTAATAAAGCTGTATTTCTTCCCTCCATACTTGTGTTTGCAAGGATTGAGATTCTGGTTCATGGTACTGCAGTCCATGACAATAGGTTGTTTTTATAGATTTGAGAGGATTTAAGCATATCAGGCCAAGGTGTTGATGTTTAACCTTTTATTCTGAATGATGACTAGGTTAATAATGCTGAATACCTTATATGAATCTTTGATTTCCTTGAGAGTAAATGCTTTCTCTTAAATGTTGCCTGTGTATTTCAAGACCGCTTTCTTAAGTTTCTGTGCCTAGAGTATCATGAACCCAATCCCATCAGTTTTCAAAATTCCAGGATTGGTATGAAAAAAACTAAGTAGAAATTCAAGTACAATAAAATATTTCTTACCTAACAATCAGTTAAGGTAGGTCAAATAGCGAAAAATTAGGAGAAGTAGTTTTCTCTGGAAAAATAGCATTTGTAAGTGATGAAACTAAGAAGACTAAATGTTAAAGCATCTAAATGTCACTGCTGAAATGGACTGCCGAGGGTCCAAAAGCATATGGACACTTGTATCTGTCTTCTCCATCCTTTCTAATTTTCAGCTATGAGCTTACAAATTCCATGTCATTATCATGCCTTTTCATCAGTACATTCACATTAACATTAGGAATTAAATAGAAGTTCTCTTAATGATTAAATTTCTCTTAATGTTTCCTTACCATTCCCTTAATCTGGACCAAACTGTGTATCTTCAGCCTTATTTCCTATGGAAATGAGACCCAGGCAAGCCTGCTGCCTGTTTGCTTCCCATAAGTTTTGAACCTTCCAGCCAGTTTCAGTCAAATTAGGCAAATGTTTTGAAGGTATAAACATTCTGCAGATCTTGTGCTAACTGGCAGCTGAGCAAAAGTAACGAGGTCTAAATGAGCATCCTTGCTGAGGGAAGGGGGATAGCATGCGTGCAGTGGACAGTGGGTTTTTTTTTTCGTCTGTGCTGTTAGCTGACCCTGGTGTGCTGATGGGTGAATCGGTTGGTGCATAGCTTGGAGGCAGCAACCACCCTGACTGCCTCCTGCCATCAGTGGCTGGTGGGCATAAACGAGCTGGAAGTACGATTGGAAGGGTTTGACGGATAAGGAGCTATATACGGAGCAGGTAGTGAGCAGTATTGTAACGTATGTATTCTGTGATACAGGACAGAAATCTATTATAAACTAGGTTGCTGGGGGTTTTTTGGTCCCCAGTGTTTGAGGGGATAAAAGCAGATAATACTGCCTTGTGGACAAAATGACACTGTACCCGATTATGCTCCATTCCTTTTCTTTTTATCTCGTCTTCTCTGTTCTGCTTTTATACAAGCAAATGTCAGATACGTATTTAAAGCAGAATTCTGAGTTCCGAAATTTAGTAAGAGTTTGAGTACTGTAATGATTTTAGTGAATGGCTATGTTGTTAAAAGTTACATGTGTAGCTGGATATTTTGGTTTGTGGTTTGGTTTTTTTTTTCAAATTGTAATTGAATTACCCTGCTAACAACAGGTGGGGGACAAAGGTAAAAGCTGGAGTATTGAAATTATGACATGCCTTTCTAGCATTTCTTTAATCAAGCAACCCTTTTCTCCCAAAGTTTTCCTTTTAAACTTAGCTCCGAATTTGTTCTCTTTCAGAATCTAGCACTTTTTTAATGAATGTTACTTTATGATTTTTTGCTTAATAGACTTCTTGGTGAAAAGCATTTTAATTCAGTTATTGGAGAGTCTCATGCAATATTCTAATGAACCTAATCTTACTAGTAAGATACTATGGTGATGTTTAAATACTAAAAGCTTTCCTTGCAAACCTCTTTTGTTAAAAATGGTGGGAGAGATAGTTTAACTGTCTCAAACTGATGGAATTTCCAAGATGGATTCATAGTGAGAAAAGATTAATAAATAGTTATTGTTGAATGTGAAACAGAGTATGTAGAGGATTTGCATCTCCCAGATGGATCAATGAGGAACAGACCCCACTTAAATGACCTACAGAGACAGAAAAATTAATTCAGACCTTTATTATGAGGGGTTTGGGGGCTGCTTAGTTTTTGGTGTTTTGTTGATTCCCTCAGCCCTCACCCACCCTTGGTTAAATACTGATTTCATAACAATACTGCTTTAAGATGATGTAGATCAGTGCTTTTGAAATCCAAGTAGTTCTGAGATGTTGAGCTGCAAAACTTTTTAGTTGTAGACGTGCATCAGGGAGCCAAATTTGCTAGTACTTGTTTAAGCAATGCTGATTTGATTGGTCTCGCTTCCATAAATCAGCATCAGAAACATTTCTTCATTGGTGCTGTTGCCAATTACTGTCAGAGAGGCCAAGTCCAGAATAGATTCTCCATTGGTAAGTTGTCACTGCCCATATCTGAATATACTGTGAATTTTTGCAAACAATTTTTTCTTCAGAAGACCTGAGCAAACGTTTTAAAATTGTAACACAGTGTTCCATATGAGGTAGTCAGTATATAAATCTGTTGTTTTATTCTTTGGGAGATGGAGGAGGGAATGTGGAATACTTACTTAGAAACAGAGATTTTCTTTAGTGTGATGTCTTATTTATAAATATCTTTCAAAATAGTTAAAAATAATACTAGAAGCACTCTACATTAGATTGGAATGCAAGTGTCTCATTACCCACTTTATTGAGTAGATGCAGGAGAGATGTGAATCTAGCATATTTTCATCATCCAGTCTTAGTGAAATGTTAGAAAGGCACAAGTAGGGGTGGCAATTGGGAATCAAACTGGTGTTACTAACAAAACCTAAGTGATAGTTCTTTAGGAGGTATCACATGCAGTCCTATCCCATCAGTCCTTCCTCTATGTGCATTTAACTTGGAGCACATAAATACATGAAAATTATTTTTTTAAGAAATTAATTTAGCCTGAAGTAAATAAGGCATAGGCGGTTCTAAATGCCTCTTTCAGTCCTGTCTGATCCTGGACATGAGTCAGCAGAATGCCTTTGCATTAAGACCCACTGCATTCTAGCCTGTAGTAACAAGTGTTACCCAGCAAGTTGAGGAAGGTGACTCTTCCCTTCTATTTGGTACTTAGAAAACCACATCTGGACACCATATCCAGTTGTGGATTCTCTGTTCCAAGAAAGGCATTGACATGCTGGAGCAAGTCTGCTGGAGAGCCACCAAGATCGTTAAGAGGCTGGAGGACATAGTATCTGAAGAGAGACTGAGAACTGGGTTTCTTGATCTGTAAGAAAAGCGGGGGCAATGTTATTACTCTCTACAATAGCCTTACAGGAGAATATACAGAAGATGGAGCTAGGTTCTTCTCAAAGCTGTACAGGGATAGGGTGAAAAGAAATGGACACAAGATGGGGCATAGCAAATTCCAGGATGATACTAGGAAAAGCTTTTTCACAGTATGGTTATTCATGTTGTGGAACAGGGGCCCGGAGGGGGCCATTGCACCTCTGTTCTTGGAGATATTTGAAACTTGGCTAGCCAAGTCCCTGATCTGATTGGACCTGCTTTGAGCAAGGGGTTGAACTAGGTGACCTCCACAGTTTCCTTCAGATCTAAATTATTCTGTGATTCTACCCTTTCTTGTTCAATATATGTTATCGTTTGTATCCTTAGCCAAATGAAACTAAAGTTTAGAGTGCTAGAAACCCCAATTATGTTAAAGCTCCTACATGTCCCCAGAAAACGATTGGTTGGGTAGAAAGAGATACAAATTGGAACCTTTGATAACTGTTGATAATTGTAGCCTTTCTGCTATTATAGCCATTTGTTCTGCTGACAGGGAGGTTTGTGCATACATCTGAGCACAGCGTGCTCTTCCAGCTGGTACTTGTGCTACGCGGGAGAGTGCTTGAGATGACTCGGGAAATCCTGGGAGGGGTGAGGAGAGAGGGGAGCAAGGTTATGGCTTTTCACAATGAGGACAGTCATGCATTGGAGCAGGTTGGCCGGAGATGTTGTCTCCTTCCTTGGCAGTTTTCAAGACTGGAGCCTAGAGCAATCTTGTCTGACCTCATAGCTGACCCTGCTTTGAGTAGGAGGTTGAGCCACTTGAGGTCCCATCTAACCTGCATTATCGTATGATCCTAAGTAGAGGTAGTGGAAGGAGAAGTGTTCTTGGGAGTTGTGTAGAAAGGTCGGTGAGGCACAGGTGCATGCTGATGAATCAAATTTTTTTTTTAAGTTGGGGTTACTTTGCTTTCATCAATCTTGGATTTTTTTCAGATGGACTTCTGTTTATGTTCCGAGATCTTATATTCCTCAGGTTGTAGAAACTTCAAATGCTTTTACTTCACAATTCATGCTGAAGACAACTTCGCAGTATAACACTATAATAAAATTATTAGTTTTTACCAGTTGTTAGGTCCATTCTTTAGTTCAAGAAAACTTACCTTAAACCTGTATTTTATTCTGATGAGTCAGGCATTTGTGAGTTGTCTTACTTAGTTAAGAAGTGAGTATGGGTGGGCTGTGAAAGTGACTAGTATATCAACAAGTTAAAAGTACTTATTTTCCTGTGATTCTGCAGATTTGCCTGGGTAACACAATGCCAGCTGAGCGCAAAAAGCCAGCAAATATGGAAGAAAAAGAATCTCCGTTAAATAGTAAAGAAAAAGAATTTAGTGAAAGGCGACCAGTGAGCACCAGGGAGAAGCCAAAAGAAGATGTCAAGGTTGGCATGAAGAGAGAGACTTTAAAGGTTCCTGAAGATAAAAAGAAAAAACTGGAAGAGGATAAAAGAAAAAAGGAAGACAAGGAGCGGAAGAAAAAAGAAGAGGATAAAGTAAAGGCAGAAGAAGAGCAAAAGAAGAAAGAAGAAGAAGAAAAAAAGAAACTTGAAGAGGAGGAGAAAAAGAAACAAGAGGAGGAAGAAAAAAAGAAACAAGAGGAAGCAGCTGCTCAACTGAAGTAAGTTGTTTTTTAATAGTTTAATTGTGCCAAATGCTGTAGTCCTGCTGTCAGGATTGTGGCCGGAATTATAAAAGATTAACTGTTTGAGTTGCTTATAATAAGTTGTATGTAGTGTTATAAGTTTTACAGGGCTGAGTATGCTTTATGACTTCTACATAGTTTTGAGTTTTCACCTCTGACCTCTGTTTAGTCTCCAATACGGGTTTTTGATAGTGTGCTCCATGTGATGACCATGTAATGCACAATTTTGCTTGAATAAAGAAGCACAGTTTCTTTTAAGATGGAGAAATGTTGGCATCATAAAATCGGGGATACAGGCTCTGACAGGTCCACAGACTGTAACAGGAGCAAATCTACTGTGAGGGATGACTGTAATTTCTTTTAATCAGTCAGAGACAATTGATACCTGGATGACAAACACAGAATGTAACCTGGCGGTTTAATATGTGATATTACCAAGACAATGTTTCTTAGAATGTTATCAAAAGGTACTACAGTGTTGAAGATAGCATCTTTAGACCAATAAAGCCAAGATTCTGGACATTCTTGTGTTTGAAATAGGTCACTTTCTAAGACTGAGGCAATGTCATAGCCAAATTCTAGCTGGGACAAATGTATTTCACCTATTTAAAATTTTCTGTGTAATTTCAGTAGTCTGGGAATAAAAGATCTCCCTTGACCGTGTAATACAGTAACTTGTTGAAAGGTTGTTGTCCTCTTCTTACAGAACTTATCTCCATCTGGAGTAAATGGAGTTTTATGTTTATATTTTCTAAGTCTGTTGGGATTAAGTTCTGCATAGAAATATTTGAGAAATTTCATTTTGTAACAAGAGATACTTGCCTTTTGCAGCAAACAAACAGTTTATGAAGCAGATGCTTTAGCTTTCTAGGATTAACTTGTTAAATATTTAAAAATAGAGTATTAAGGGGAAATTGTGTTTAGAACTACTGGAGAGTTTCCAACTATGGCTTGTTTTTCCTTTGAACTGTTAACCTGAAAGTAAGGTTGCATAACAAAAATGACTGATTTTTATTTCTCTTAGGGAAAAAGAGGAAGCACATCAGGTCCATCAGGAAGCTTGGGAGCGCCATCAGGCAAGAAAAGAGCTTCGCAGCAAAAACCAGAATGCACCAGACAATCGCCCTGAGGAAAATTTCTTCAGCAGACTGGATTCCAGTCTGAAGAAGAACACAGCTTTTGTTAAGAAGCTAAAAACCATTACAGAGCAACAAAGGGACTCCTTGTCCCATGACTTTAATAGCCTGAATTTAAGCAAATACATTGCAGAAGCAGTAGCTTCTATTGTGGAAGCCAAACTGAAAATATCAGATGTGAACTGCGCTGTGCACTTGTGTTCGCTCTTTCACCAGCGCTATGCTGATTTTGCTCCTTCATTACTTCAGGCTTGGAAAAAACATTTTGAAGCAAGGAAAGAAGAGAAGACTCCCAACATTACCAAGTTAAGAACTGATTTGCGTTTCATTGCAGAATTGACAATAGTTGGGATTTTCACTGACAAGGAAGGTCTGTCTTTAATCTATGAGCAGCTTAAAAATATTATTAACGCTGATCGAGAATCCCACACTCATGTTTCTGTGGTTATCAGCTTTTGTCGGCATTGTGGAGATGACATTGCTGGTTTGGTACCAAGGAAAGTAAAAACTGTTGCAGAGAAGTTTAACTTGAGCTTTCCTCCTAGTGAGATAATTAGCCCAGAGAAACAACAGCCCTTCCAGAATTTGTTGAAGGAATACTTTACATCTTTGACCAAACACCTGAAAAGGGACCACAGGGAGCTACAAAATATTGAAAGACAAAACAGGTGACACTTGAATGTTGCTTTTTCCTTATGGAGAAAAAATATCGTTTATTTATGAAATGCCTAGATTTGTTGCACTATTTGTAAACAAAGTCTGTTAGTGGTGTGTAGAAGATAAGTGTATTCTGCAATATATCTAAAAAACGTTCTAAATTTGCTCTGAATACTTAAAAAGTAAACAACAAACAGACTTTTCAAATATCTTTAAAGAAAATGGAGATTGTCCTTTAGCTTTAATTCTCTTAACTCTATTAGTTTGGTGACACTCCCTTAGCAGCTTGAGGGTATTGCTTCTTTCCCAGCTGGCACTGTCCTTTTCCAGTTGGCACAGTCTGATTTCTCCCTTTCCACCCACACGTATCTAACAGAGCATATGCCACAATGGCTTTGGTTTGTTTACCTTTTTTTCTTAGTGTACCAGTATGGAGGAAAAATTAGGTTAGATTAACAAAGTATCCCTTACACTTTAATGTGTGCAAATTTTATATATTAAAATGTTGGAGGGTATAGGCAATTTGATTCAAATCCCCTCAAATGCCTATATGAAATACTAATATTGAAGGGTACGAATATACACACCTTTGAGATCTGAATAATTTCTACAATGATCACATTGTTTAATAAGTGTTTGCTTTTCTTTAAAGCATCCTGAATTGTCATTATTGGAGCCAGCCTAAACCCAACTGCTGCTGCCAACAGAGAGTCATTCTTAAGTCCTTTCGGAAGTGTTCCAGGCAGATAGAAATGGACGTGTTATTTGGTGTAGGCAGAGGTTTCAACTAAAAGGCTGAACATCCGTCCAGAGCAAATGCAAGCTTAGAATACATTAAAATTTGATGTTCCCAAACCAAGGCTTTAAATTTGAATCTGTTGTGCTGATGAGTATTGTACTGCAGACCTATCTGGTCTTGGTCAGCTAAGTGTTGTATTTCACAGGACCATAAACTGATTTTTGAGCTGCTGTTATTTCTACGAGTACCGTATTACTTTAAAGTGTGTTATTGACTTAGTTATTTTTTTTAAAGCTAATGAATATAAACTTTCATACTTTCACAGTTATAATTGGTTCTGAACACATTGGTTCTGGGTGGGGTTTCAATGAATAAGTGTTATAAAGGCTATATGACAGGAAATAAAGTGAAAAAAATTTCCAAGAGATGTGAAGAATGTTAAGAAACCATGAAGAAGAAAGCATGTACGTGATCTGGGAGAGGGAAATGTAGTTTGTTTACTGGCACAACTGGATAAAAATGAGTGGATAGAGCCCTCAGCAGCCTGGTCTGATCTCATTGTTGAGCCTGCTTTGAGTAGATCAGACTAGAGACCTCTTTATGTACCTTATCTGAATTATCCCTATGAACTTGGGTACAGAGCTTTGTTTTGGGGAAGGAATGTGAAGAACTATCATTTATCATTGGATTAAGATAATTCTGTTATTTATCTCTATCTGAACTTTAAGGTGTTTATTTTAACTGCTTGATAAAAGTTGGAGAGTAAGTTTTGTTAAGGAAACAAGACATCAAAAAACTTTCCTGCCTGATTTTATTTGCTTACAACATGTCTGTAAGAGAGATGCTTGGCATTTGTACGCTATGGGAGTGCAAGGCACAAGGTCAAATACAGAAAATTGTGTAGGAAGAAGTCTGTGAATAGTATAGAAATCTTCCTGAATTGTGGATTTTGGGAAAGTGATTGTGTGGTTGGTTGGTTGCTTTTTGGGTTTTTTGGGTGTTTGTTTGTTTGTTTTTAAAAAACAATAATCCTATTGGAAAAAAACACTCCTCTGCTTATTTGAAACCTGATCCACTTTGCTGATAGCAACACCTGTTATTCCAGAACCAATGAAGTAAACAGGGAGCAAACTGTTCCCTCTTGTGCATCAACAGTGTCATATGTTTAGGTTATGATATTTTGTCAGGTAAATACCTGTTGAATTTATCTGTGTCAGGAGATTGACTGTGAAATACCTCAAGCTGTACAGATTGAGTTAATTGAAGATTAATATGCTAACGTTAACAGTGCTTTAGTATTGTGTTACCTGCTGAATCATTTAGGTAAAATGAAAGTGTTATTAGACACAAGGGTTTCTGCAAGTAGATAATTAGGAATACTACCTTGAGTTAGGCTTTGACAGTAGATCCTGCTGGTCATTTGGTTACACACCTAAGGGCACAGCAAAATCTGTGCAGGCTGTGTTATTGGAAGGAAACAATTAGATTCCCAAATTCTACTGTGAGTTTTCAAAAATGAGTGTTAGATATGGAAGAAACATCTTTTGTCTAAATTAAGGATGTTTTTAAGAGCTGCTGAACTTGTGTTGTGGCACTTTGTGAAATTCTGAAGAGACACAAAGGAAGAGAAGTACTGTATCTGTACTTTAAGTTGTATTAAAAAATTAATTATGCTTTTTAAAGTTTACTTAGTATGCTTTAGCTTCCTTGAATTTGTTAACACTTGTCTTTTGGGAACTGAAACCGAGAACTGAAATGCTTGTACTTTTGTTTCAGCACTTGGCTTTTCTGCTTTTAGTAACAGCACAGAGCTTCGGTGCTCGTGTTTATGAGGCTGCTGGTATATTTTAAACTTAAAATATGTACCTAATGGATAGCTGTCTCCTTGGAAAGGCTATGAACTGACACTTAACATATTTCCTGGATCCATGTTGAACTACTGCACTTTAGAAATTGTCAGTGGTTATTTGATTTGTTAATTTTTCTTGCTGGGCTTTGCAGGAGCAGGTAATACATGTTATATAGGCGCGGTTTTGTAAGAGGGACAAAAAATAGAACTTCTGCTAGCATTATTGCTTCTTCCCCTCTAGCAAGACATCTATATCAAGTTTTGGTTCTGAGCAGGTAGAAGGGATTTTGTTGCTCACCCTGTGAATGTGTTGTGTACAAAGATGACTTTTGTTTTACAATTAACCTGGAACTGAAAAAAGCCAAGATTGATATCCCTCAACTTACGTTGCTTAAACTGTTTTAGAATTTTTGTGCTTCGGGTCTGTTGGCAAAAATGTGATTAATTGCTTAATAAAAACCTAACAATAATGTAATGATACAGTCTGCTTTAGGAATTATGGCATTTGCACCTTATTTCAAACTTCTACCTTCTGATGCTTTCATCTCAGTGTAGGGTGCATTGTCAGTGGTTACAGCTAGTTAGTCCAATGTTACTAGCATTATTCAAGCTGTGGTAAAACAAATTGGAAACTTACTAGGCAAGCTCATCCTGTCAACTTCCCTTTGAAAGTCCGTGTTTGATCTGAGCCCATTTGTAGCTTTGCTGTAGTAGGCCCCCAGACAGCTCATCCAGCCTGAAGTGTCCCTTACTGGTAAGGAACTGACTGTGCCTGCTCCATATAAGAACTGTTCACGTAGAGTGGATCATGCCACAGACGGAACAATGCACAAACCAGAACATTGCTAATGAGCAACCAGCTTGTTCTTAGTTAACCCAGAATCAAGGATGACAGTCTTTCAGCAGTCTTCTGTGGCAGGCTTTGTACTAGCAGAGATTACCTTGTCCTGTGTATTTGGTTCAAACTACTGAAAGTTCTTGATATTTTTGGTCTAAAATCCAAGGTGGCCTTATCTGTAGTTAAGAAAATGGAGTTGTACCGTTCTGCATGTAATCCTGAAACTGCTTTATTGTGCACTTGTAAGCAGTGATTACATTCCTTCAAATGCAAGTTGCTTTTGACAACAGATTTCAATTTTAAAAATTATAATTTAAAATAAGTATGGATTGTTTCATAAAAAAAAACAAAGAACAAGTGAAAAAACAAATGTAACTGCTCTTAATTTGGACCAATAACCTTGAAATAACTTGGTTTGGAAACATAACAGGCTGGTTTTAACATGCAACTTTTTTTTGAGCCTCCTGGTGATGACTGTTCATTTAATAATTTGAACAATATGGTAATGTATTGTTACAGATGCAAAGCAACTTTTATCCAGCTTTTGTGTATGAATGTTTTAATTTACCAAAAAAGTCTCTTTATAATGCAGGACTGTTACAGGATAATCGTGACAAAAAGTAGGTTAACTTTTCTCTTTGGACACTGAAGTTAGAGCTGTGACTGTGCTATCCTCAGTGATACAGAAGATGGTAATTCAGTATGGTTGGTTGGAAAAAAAAAAACGTTGCTCAAATTTTTGCTATTGTGGTCTAAACTAGAACTCTCCCAGTTCCCTCGAAGAGGGAGGCTTAGCTTTGTTCAGAGAAATTGATAGTGGTTCAGCATAACTCAAGTATATTTTAAGAAAAAAGTGTGTCTTACTGTAACTTTGATTTTTGTAGGCGCATTCTTCACTCCAAAGGAGAGCTGAGTGAAGATCGACACAAGCAATATGAGGAATTTGCAATGTCATATCAGAAGCTTTTGGCAAATTCTCAATCTCTAGCTGATCTTTTGGATGAAAATATGCCTGACCTTCCCCAGGAGAAACCAACACCTGAGGGTAGGCTGCAAGTAAACAGAATGCCAGATTTGGCTTGGATGTGGTGGGAAAGCTAACCAGTCTCTCTTACTAATGTGTTCTTTCCATTGATTTCTTTTTATTTAGACTTTCCCCCTTAAGGATATCAACGAATGAATGATACATGTTTTTTTTATTAAAGTAATTAAACCTAGTATGTATCCATAACTATTGTATATGCTGTGCAGTTACGGTAACTTAAGTAATATCTCTTTAGATTTGTTTCAGGTAATATAGGAATAAATGGAAAATGAAAAATGTTTTTAACCTAATCCTTTCAATTTCTTATAATGCATTTTTTAATATTTGAAGAACTGTGTATGTTAGAGTTTTAAAATCTGGTATTGTTTAAAAATGGGTATGAAGTATATTTTGGGTGATGCTGTTATAAGCAGGAACATGCTGTTAAGCCAGAGAAGTCACTAGGTGGCTCCCTGACCTCCTGAGGAGAAGTACAGCATTTAACTGCCAGAACTATTCAATGCCTTAATAATCTCAAATTTTAGATTTAGAAATGTTATTGAAATCATGAGTGTACCTTTTGTCTGAAGTGATCTTGAGCTTAAAAAAACTGTATTTCTTGAATGTCTCTAAATTTAAAATTAGTCTTTTTAAACTTCTGTTCTTAAAATAAAATAGGGTACAGTTCATCATACTCAGTGATTACTTTTTATGCTAATGTGGTTAAAGTCTGTTATAGCTTTCCTTTCTAATACCACGTAATGTGCTGCTTGATTTTACTTGATTTGACTCTCACTCTGATACTGTCTGTGTTTTCTATCAATGTAAAATTTACAATTTTAAGATAACTTATTGATATATCTAATGTTAAGATTGAGTTGTTAAAAGCACCGTATACATTGCAATATTTAAGTGAAAACAAGTAGTATGAAATAGGTTAACATGTTTCTAAAAGTATTTTTTTAATCTTTAAAGGTGCCTCCTTTTAGAAGATCAGAAATTTGTGTAAAGTAACTTTCTTACGGTTTCACTGTTTTTGCAGAACATGGACCTGGTATTGATATTTTCACACCAGGAAAGCCTGGAGAATATGACCTGGAGGGAGGTATCTGGGAAGACGAAGATGCTAGAAACTTCTATGAGAATCTCATCGACTTAAAGGCTTTTGTGCCAGCAATTTTGTTTAAAGATAATGAAAAATGTTCCCAGAACAAAGATTCTGGCAAAGATGACTCAAGAGGTAGAGTGCTTAGATGAGTATTTTTTAACGTATCTTGTCCAGCAGATATGCAAATTTGATGGAAGTAGTGAGTCTAATGAAATAATTTGTGGTGATCGGGACAGTACACCAGTTTGGATGAATTTTTAGGGAAGAAACTATGTGGAATAGGGATTATGTCTGGATATGGTATTTAAAGAAGAAAAAATAGTAAATGTATTTTAGTATTTATGGAATCTTAACTTTAAAATAATTGGAGATTGAGGAATGTGAGTATTAACTTTTCTATGAGAAACCTGGAATTTTACCTTATTTGAAAGATGTTAGTGTTCATTCTGTTTTTTTCACTAAACTGGTAGTTGTAGCTGACTGTCTCAGTATAAAATTCCAGTAGATTAAAAGGCCTGGATGGTTCCTCACTTCTGACGCAGCCCTAGGTTCACAACCAGACATTGGCAGACTTCAGTTATAATGGGATAAAAATGATATTCACCATCACTGGCTCAAAGTGTAACAGAAGATGTGTATTTGGGTAAGACCAGTGTTTTGGCATTGAGGAAATGCCAACAAAGAGGCAGGCTACATGTTTTTCTAATACACATGCAGTAGGTCAGTGTTGAGTATTAATGGAATTTCAACTTTATAGCTCATGGCTTTCTTTCTGATTTCTAAATTCTGAAATTTCCCTGTGAGGATAGTTAGGTTTCAGAGCAGCTTGCCCAGGGAGATTGGAATCTCTATCTTAAGAGATTTTTCAAGACAACTGGAAAAAATACCTGAGAAATCTGGTGTGAATATAGTGCTCATCCGCTTTGAGCAGAAAATTGAACTAGAGACCTCACCAAGGTCCATTCCAGACTAATTTCATCTGTGATTCTAAACAGGTTGCCTGTTTGGTGAATCTACTGTTTCCATATGATGTGTGCACTGTTTAGAAGTTGTGTCACATTTTTGTTTGAAAAATTTTAAGTATTTTAATAAGGTTGTTTGCCTTGAAAGTTGGTGTTTTGGTTTTTTTTATGAAGCATAGTCTACAAATGAGGCTTGAAGGAGGCCTGAAAGCATAGCAAAATGTTGTAGATAGTAATCTATTGGAAAAATGCTCTCTGCTGGACCAGTGTTGTTGTCCAAGACAAATATTAACTATTCACTTCTAAATCTTCATCTAGAGATTCACAGATTATTTGTTTTCAAGGAAAAACACATTATTTCTTCAGTATCTTCTTCTTCTGCAGTTTGCTTTTTTTTGCCATCTGTGTAAAACACTTTCTGCTTACCTTGCTTTGTCAATTTTGTTATCAGTTGAGCTATGAAGAATACACAGTGCAAACATTAAATTAGAATTTCTGTCTTTGAAACTGTTTTTTTTTGAATAATGTTTGTGATGTTCATTTACTGGGCTTTTGGAAGATACTGTTTTTCTGTCTGACCTTCTCAGTATGCAAGTTGTTTTTTTGCTTGCACTTTCCATGTGATGGTTTGGCAATCCATTTTAAGCCCATTTGGATTTAGATTGCTACACTTCTGAATATCTTGTTCCATTTCAATGTATGCACGTCATCCAGTGAAGACATACCAGGTATACTTCAGAACAAACCAAAGCACTAAAAACTGTCGGCAGTCCTTAACAGATCCCAATGTAGGTAAACATTTGCAGTTTCCAGGGGTTATGGGTAAAGCTATATGAAGGATGTCAAACCACTGAGACCTAACGGATGAGACAGTGTGTAGTCTCAAGAAGCAGATATTCTTTGCCCCATTTCCTTTTAACAAGACTAAGACACTAAAGAGACGTAGGTTTAGCAACGTGAGTCTTCCTGTATTCTAGTCATGACTGTGTGTATTTAATAATTTAATATTTCTACTTACCTTTTAAATAGATTCAAAAGATGCCAAAGATAATAAGGAAGCACCTGGGAGTGAGGATTTGGAGTTGGAGCTGGAGAACCTGGATATTAATGATGATCCCCTGGAGTTAGACTGTGGAGATGAGGCAGAAGATCTTACAAAAAAGCTTCTTGATGAGCAAGGTAAAAAGAATAGGTTTTAGGAATTCTTTGTTGTTTCCTGGTTGATTTTTTTGAGCTTGATGATTTTTAGTCAGTAAATAGAGTGACTTCAGGGAGAACTGTTTGTTTATTTATGAAACTAGTAGGTAGAAACTGTTAGGATTGTGGCCAAAAATGCATTTGTAACAAGACGTTCAGATACAAGTGAAAAGTATTATATGGAAATTTATGTAGTGAAAGTTATTGATTTCTTCATATAGCTTTTAAAAATAATCAAATGTGAAGGCAGTTGTCTGAAAAGTGACTAGAAAGAAGTGTGTAGACTTCAGTGCATAAATGATTTTCTCATCAAATGTGCTTAGGATACTAATAAAATATTTTCTGTTTTTAACTTCTCTTGAAATCTGAGATTCAGCTTTGTCTTCTTAATCGTTAAAGACTTTTCTTTTGATGTTAGGGCTTTATGTAGCAGGATTTAAGAATTCTGACCTCTAATTATGCGTAAAGGGCTGTAAATGGCACCTGTGAAAATCTAGCTGTGTGTTAGTTTTACTAGGGAAACAGCAGCAAAATGTTTCGTAAGAATTTTTCTTATGAATTACAAGTTTTTCTTGCAGGGGTACTGAATAGTGGGAAAACCAACATCAGGTGTTAAGAGCCAAATTCATGGAGGAGCAAGTGAGGTGTTTTCTTTGAGCCTAGTTTGTAAGACATCAGTTTTGCTGTTTTGGATTTCCAAGGACCAATGCAGATTGTTTTCTTTAATTTCTGAAGCAGGAAACTTGTTGTATGTCTAGAATGTGGAAAAAAAAATCATGTCTAGAGTCCACTGGCTGGAGATTGTGTGGCTTAAAAGTGAAAATCCTACCTGGTCTAGTGAGTTTATAATCTGATCATCCTCTTGCTTGGAACTCCACTGGGCTTTAAAAGCCAAGAAGTTAAAGCCAAAACTTCAAGCTATAGTGAAAGCAAAGAAGTTCAGGCCCTGGCAAAGACTGTCTATCAGTGTTTAAAGCATGGGTTATTCTAACCAAGCTGATGCATGGATCTGTGGGTTTGGGCTTTGAGTAGCTTGAACATCTCCTCAAAGTGCCAGTCTCTCTCAGCTGACAATAGGGATTGGTTAGGGCATGTGGATCTTTAAATTGAATGACTCTCTTGTGTACCTAAAGTTAGTTGAGCTGAAATTAATCTGGGACTATGCTGGTCTGTGACACCTCACAAATTCAAAGAAATTAGGCTGCTCCAGAGTCAGACTGTTTCAGACTCCTTCTGAAAGGAAGACTGTCAGGATAGAACTCTCTAATACTTCCTTAGGGTTTTCCTTTCTCTACCCAGACAGGCTGGAAAAAGCTATACCCTCTTTGGGATAAATTTTACCTTCCATTTATACTCTTCTCTGAGTAGTCCTCAGCTCATTAAGCTGGTTAAGATGTTAAATTTTAATTGCAGGATGTTCACCTTTAAGTTGTAAACCTTCAGTCAGAGATCTCAAACAAAACAGTGAAGAGCTTGGTTCCAGCTATCTCTAAGGGAAGTACACATAGATGTTCTCTTGGAACCAAAAGGAAAAAGAGCGACTGGTCATAGCCTGCTAGATAGGCCAAAACCACTTTGTCAATAGACATCTAAACGGATGTGGGTATTTCCTTCTTGTCTTTTTTTGGAGGGAATCTTGACTTGATAGGAGGATGAAGATTATTCCAAATGCAAAAACAAATAACATGAGAGGGAGATCTTGTAGAAATGAGGAAGGAATAACAAGTGATGAGATCAGAAATAGAAGATGCAGTCTCTATGGTTCTAGCTTACTGGGAGGCAATGCCAGTTTGAGTATATACAGTAGCACAGAAGGGATTGATGATCATGCTTTTGATTGTAAAAGGAAGGTGATGCATGTTTTGTCATAATATAAAATATTAATCATCAATACCAGTTTCTGTCTTTAAACTAGCTATGGACTGAGCATTAAATGTACTCCCATTTGAAAGGTTGATCTGAAATGTGTCAGAATGGGGTTTATTTGTCATCATTAAATAGCCAGCCCTTAAAGAAAGCCTTTTACTGTCTACCTTGTGAAGGTAATGTCATTTGGCTCACAGTGTAGGCTTTTTCTTTGTGGAGAACTATTGCTTCGTGGTTGTCCTTGCTTATTAGATTATTTTTTGTGAAGCATGTAGAAACTTAGTGTCTTTGCAAATTCTGTACCTTTATCAAATTTTTTTGATACTGACAAGAAGCTTCAAAAATTAATGATGGAAATTAAAATAGGTATGTTTGCTGAATCTTTGTTCTGCTAGAAAACTAGGCTATAAATTAGCAGCATGTAAGTGTTACTTTACTTGAAACATACAGAGAAACTCAGTGATATTTTTTTTTTGGGGGTGTGTGTGGAATTCTGAACAGCCCTAGTTGGTAGGACCAGATGTACAGAATTAACAAAATTCTGAATTTAGATGTTTCAAGTTCTGTGATGTATTTCCATCTAGTGAACTGGTAGATTTTTTTTTTCAGCCTTTCTCTTAAGTAAAATTCACTTAGGTTTGAAGTTAGGAAAATTAGGTGTCCTTTGGATGCAAAATACAGCTTTAACTTTTCTTCATATGTACTGAATTTTTGTGCATCTGTACTTGAGGTAAGTTAGTAGTAATGTTTTGGCCAAAACCAGGAAAGAATGAAGCCACTGTATTCTGACACTATTACAAACATAAAACAGAGTATTCCTAGGTTGTGATGGTCCTTTAGTATAAAAAGGGAGGATGCGTGAGGTATAGCAAGGTCTTAGATCATAGACTCATAGAATAGTTTGGGTTGGAAAGGACCTCTAAAGGTCATCTAGTCCACCCCTCCCTGCAATGAGCAGGGACATCTTAACTGGATCAGGTTGCTCGGAGCCCCTTCCAGCCTGATGTAAAGTCCAGGGTGAAGAAAAGTAGCTTTAGTTATTGTGATAATCTGGGGGTGTGGATTTCACTGGCAGAGGGAAAATAAGTAAATTATAGAGGGGAAAATAGGATAAATAGGGTATACAGTCCAGTCAGGCAGTGGGTACTGCATATCTTTTGTTACTTCTGCATCTCCTTCTGTCAGTTCTCTTCAGTCTTTTCTCCCCTGTCCAAATATGAGGGAGACAAGGCAGTTTTCCGAACTGTGTGGGTTTTAAAGCAGGTCTGCCCTGGTGTAGCATTCTTCACGGCGTTGCAGTGCCTGTTTCTGCACTTTTTTCCTAAAGGTTGGAGCCCATAGTTGGCTAAGCTTAAGATACGACATTTAAAAGGAAAGTTAATGCAGTTAGTTGAAGAGATTTGTTTACCAAGAATTCAGCTAATTTATTTTGTTTCTATATTGTGTTAACTTTGAGTGAATCTTAATTTTCTTATTTTCAATATGCTCAGGGAAGAGAGAGGGAGCAGATAGCACCGGAGCTGAAAATAGTGACGGAAAACATGCTGAAAGAAGTGAGTTTTGAGGTTGTTTTTAAAAGAGAAGATAAAATGTTAAAAATGAAGCTGTGTGAATTGTCACAAAGATATTAAGTAAGGAATCGCCAGAGTGGAAACCATCAAGGGTACTGGGAGCAGGAGTCATCTGATGTTAAAAATATATATCCAGCACCAGTTTTTGTAAGGTTGGTCAGCAGCAGAGATGATGTGTAGGAGTATTAAGTCAACTCTGTTAATTCTGCCATACTGTTTAGAGATCTAGCAAAGTTCCTATCAGAAGAGCAGGAATTTAAAGAAGATCTAAAAATATTTATTAAGAAATATTTTTTGGACTTACGAGACTAGATTCTGAACACATTCGTCAGTGAGGCTTTGATTTGACAAGATGTTTAACATTATGCTTATGCCCCTAAGAGGGGAATTCAGGCAACAGTTTACTCACAGTTTTGGTTTGTACCATCTGAATGTGAGGACTCCTGCATGATCGAATTCATTACAGAAACTCATCTCACAGAGGAATAGCTACTAGCATTACAAAAGCACTTCTGTTATTTCCACTGTCGGAGTGATACTACACAAAGTAGACTGAAGCTTTCAGAGAGCGTGGAGTTTCTAGGAGAGAGCCCTCTGTAAGGTTATAGTTTTGTAAAAATAAAAAAAAATGTTGACAATAAGGGAGCCAGGGCTTTCTCAGAAAGTATATATGTGGGGAAAGGAGAAGGCAAATAACTATTGCTATTGTATGTAGAAGATTGTTTGGCACCAGTCGTTGCAGGAGAATGACTTCAGTAAGTCCTCGGTGTCTTCTCATGCTTTCTCAGTTCTGCTCCCTGAAAATTGCAAGATTGCGTGTATTTCTGGTTAAAAGTGTTTAAAAAGAAAAAATAATTTTTCTTTCAGTCTCTACAGTGATCATACTGCATGATTTGATCTGCATCCAGATAGACTATTACAAATAGTCTAACTGTAATTGTTATACATTACTACTTGCAGTAAATTTTTAAAAAGAGGTAATGCAGTTTTAAAACGTGGTGATGATGAAAGACTGAAACTCAAGAGGATCAAAGTGAAAAGCAAGAAATTAACTCATTTTTTGCATGAATTGCATAAGGATTGTTGTTTGTCTTAGAGAAGGAAGCCCTGACCGTTTCATTTCCTGGCACTGTAAAATTCTTAATTTTCTGTCTTAAGTCCCAAACCTGCTTCAGGTACTACAAAAGAGCCTTTCCACTTAGAAAGGATGCACATACTGTGATGAGAAAGGAATACCTAGAAATACATTGTGAGAATATTTGTAACCTTCCAGTGAAGGAGAAGACCAGTGAAAGAAGAGATGTATTTGGAAACTGTTGAAATTGAATGTGATAGCAGGGCCTTTTGAAAGATTGTCTTGGAAAGTGACTGAATTGTCAAAGACACTACTTTTTAAATTCATTTGAAGAGCATTGAGTCAGTTTCAGTAGAAGGCTGAGGTGATACAACTGATTGCTGTCAAGGAAAAAGGGGAAGATAAAAGAACATTAGAAGGAGACAGGAAGGTGTGGCTGTAAATACCTAAATGGAAAAAATGCATTAAAACAAGATTTGTTAGTAAAAATTGTCTGGTTTGAGCTTTTCGTGTATCCTAGTGAACTCTTGAGTATACGGGTGATGAGACAGTCAGGGTTCCATTAAGCATTTAAAACTTCATGGTCCTCTTTTGTCTGAGCATCTGGAACATCTTCTTTTTCTTCTTTTTTCTCCTTCTTAATGAACCCTTCTCTCTTGTTCTTCCAACTTCTAGTTGCCTGTGCAAGAGGAGGTGATGTCATCTGCTTTAATCTCTAGCACCTTCAAGCCTGGGTAGTTGGCAGTGTTCCTTGGAGCAATGCTTAGTGTTTCTTTACCTAAGCTCAACCCCTGCCCCTAGCAGTTTCCAAAAACAAGAAAAAAAAGTCCTGTAATGTAGCATCTTTGTTATCTCTTTGCCTTTCGGTAACTTCAGAAAGGAACTTGAGTCTTCCATGGTGGTTTATCTTGCTGTGTAGCCTGTAAAGACATAGCGACTTCACCAGGTGTTGCATATTTTGTAGTTTGCTTGGGTGTGATTTCCACCACCATATTCTCCTCCTTTAAAGTCCATCTGTATCTATTTTCCTTTCAAATACCTCCTAGGTATTCTTGTTACTGCTGAACATCCTCAAACTGAAAGAAAACCAAGCTTCATCATGTTCCTTTTTCAGGAAGCAGTGTTCTTTTGTGTTGCTTTGGCCAAGGAAGGTTTTTTCCCAAGTGTTTGTGTTATAACGCATTGTTTTAGCTCATGTTGTGCTATAGAGCAAACTAAACTCTTCTCTAAGACTTAGTAAAATCTGGAAATTTTTTGAAGCATACCACAAGTTTTGCAATTAGAGAGTAACTATAGGGGAGTTAGTCTGGTGAGATCTTCACAGTTGATGTCAGAAAATCTGAGTTGCAGTGGTAGAATTGTCCTGCAGTCGTCTTTTTGAGTAGTGTTGCTGACTCAGTAGATACAGGTCACTGTCACTGCTTCCTGTGCTGCAAATTACACAGCAGCATTTGCTTGAAAAACTAGTTGTCACTTGCGTTGCAGTTGCTATGTCATCAGCCCTCCATCCTTGTCACTTTATGGTTCTATGCTCTGGTTTCTGTACAGCTAAAGGAATTAAGTTGGCCTCTAGCTTTTACAGCCTCAAGTGAAAGGATGTCAAGAACGTACTGGATGAAAGAATGACCTTGATGGACATTTTTGATCAAAAATTCTATTTCTCCTGCGGGGCAAACATACATTAAAAAGTAAAATCCACAATTGCATTAAGGTGTTTTGGCTTTTTTTCCCCCGTATTATTTTCCCCCATGTTTGGGCCTTCTTGTGGTGTTCCTTTTATCACCTAAAGAAATTATCCTAGTTTTCTAGAAATAGTATTTGTTGTTACTCCTGACAGTATAAATTAGGAGGTAGGGAACTTCATGAATAGGAAGACAAATTTTAAAGGTGATTCTTTTGACTTTTGTCAGCATAGACAATCAATGGATTTTTTTTTTTTTTGCATTAAAAAGTGAAATTTTGTATTCATCTTTATACCTTATTTTTTTTAATCTATGGATGAATATTTAACAACTAAACATTACAAATGCACTGTCTCTGGGGAATATAATTGTAAATCATTATATTTCATAGCTTAAAGATGTGTCCTGCTTGTTTATTTCACTCTGTTAGAACAAGAGGATGAAGAAGCCAGTACTGGATCTCATTTAAAACTTATAGTAGATGCTTTTCTTCAGCAGCTTCCAAATTGTGTCAACAGAGACCTCATAGACAAGGTATAGTCATAGTTTTCATTTTTTCCACTCTTAAAAGGTATGATACTAGATCAAATAGATGGAAAATAAAGATTTGAAGGTTTGGAGTCTAGCAGTAGCTGAATTCGTTTTTAACCTGGAGGAAATATTTTCTTTTTCTCCCTTAGTCAGCCATTGCCCAATTACCGTGTGATGCTGGTTTCATTCGCCTGTTTTCTTATGTGTTAGTTTGTTTTAGAAGTAGATTTGGCTTTCTCCTTTTTTCTTCCCATCACTCCATGACAAATTACTCCCTGTCTACCTAAAGCTGCTTTCTTCCTTGTGTTGATCCAAAGAACCAGTCTGCCATGTCTTGTAACTGGACATGTTTTCTAACTATGTCAGTTCTAGACAAAAATGAACTTTTTTTTTCTTTACAGTTGTTTTTAAAGCAGCTGCATGTAGGAGGAATAGCTCTGTAAAATACGCCTTTGAAAAGCATACTGTATTGCTTTAAATAAAAAACTGCTGCATTAAAGGTGAAGTATTGTATTGACTTTTCTCTTTATAGGCAGCAATGGATTTTTGCATGAATATGAATACAAAAGCCAACAGAAGAAAACTAGTACGAGCACTTTTCATAGTTCCTAGACAAAGGTAAGAACTGAAGCGGAACAAGCTGGATCCACCCTTTGGTTATTTAACGTAACAGATGTATATATTTTTTAACTGTTTAAGTTATTGAAAACCACTGTATATTCCAAGTTGCATTTGTTTATTCCTGATGTGCACTTCCTGATTCATGCTAGAGCACCAAAGAAACATTTAGGATTAATAATCAAACAATTTACCACAGTATTTTTCCATAGCAGTGTAAATTTTTTTAATAATTAGTTTCTCTTTTCTGGTACTTGTGTGTTTATAGTGGATCTTTTTAAGACTTTTTTTAACCATGAAAACAACAGCAAAACTTACTTGTACTTTTTTTTTGAAGAACTTGTGAATAGTTAAAGCACGATGTAGTTTAGGAAGGAGGATTTCTTGTGATATGTTAACTCTGATACAGTACATAGCCATTATAATAGCCTTGTATCTCCTGGAACAGAGCTGATTCTAGGCTGGCCAGTTTAGAGAAAGCAACTATAAGAGTTTGAGCCTGGCCTCTTCTGTCTGTGTAGATCTGTCCATGTAGAGTTTTGCTATTTCTCCTTGTCTGTCTTTGTGTAAGTGAGGTCCCTGCACTTACAGGAAGAGCCATGCTTACAAAAATGATTGCAAATTGTAAAATTCATTGGAAAAATAATATATTTCTCTGGTAAACTTGTACCTTAAATAGGTGCAACTTAAATAGGTGCAACTATGAAGGAGTCAGTTTTCTTGCTCCACCTTGCGCTGTTTCTCCTGAGAGGTTGTTTTGATGCTGCTTTTAGTTTCAGATGTTTCATCATCATCTTGGATTTCTTGTTAGAGTTCACGTGACTTTGATTCCATTCCCTTTTAACAGGTTTGAGTGTCTATTTTGTCTCAAGACTTGTATAGACTACTGTTTTGAATAAACAGACTTTGTTTTTTTGTTTTCCTTACTTTTAATCACTTCTTGCACTGTGTTTTCAACCTTAATTCTAGCCTATTTCTACATCCCATCTGTAATAAGCATCAGCTGTGCAAATAACCCTACTCTCTTAGCAGTACATAAACCAATGGTTGGTTTGCTGACTATTAACCTGACTCTATGTTGATACTAGTTTTTGTAATTAGAAGTGCACATAATCTTTCATTCTCTTATGTATTGTTTTCTCCAAAAATTACGGTTTTGACACCTCTGTCTTTGGAGACTTTGGCAGAGGCCTGGTTGTGCCTGAAATAAGAATTACTGACAGAGGAGGCAGGCAGTTGAATATCTTCTGTAGACGTAACAAGGCGCAATTTTATGATGCACAAATTTTTGATGTAGAGGAAATAATGTTTCTGTTTATTAGCCTGCTGGTAGTCATGAAACGCATCAAAACACAATTTGAGAAGAACTTTCTTTCACGCCTAGAACATCTACAGCAGTGTAAATCAGCAGGGTGACTTAGGATTTTGTCTTCAGCTCTACCATAATAGAGAATTTTCCATTTTTGTAAAATGGAAGTGGCTTGTTGGCTGGTCTGTGAGCATATGGTAATATTTATACCACTGCCCTGTATTTCTTCCTGGTGCTGTAGATTCCAGATTGCTCAACTTGATTGTTAATTCTTGGAACCTCTTTGAAAATGCATTATTTTCTTTCCATAATCCACTAAAGTGTACTAGATGATAATGACCTGAAGGAACTTTTTGACATTGTGAACAGCAAAAGAGGTACTTTCAAACAAGAACAACATGATGGCTTGTAAATTCGGCAGTGAGGTTTCGTAGATATGAAAGCAAAAGTTAAATTCCTAGTGTATTGTAGTATTAAAAAAAAGCAGATGTGTCTTTGATCAGGCCGTGCTTGGAACATGGTGAGTTGCTAGCATTGTATATAGTCTCCACATTGCCACTGATTTGTTGTCTTCCCAATGATAGTTCCATTATCCCACAAATTTTTTTAAAAAATAATAATTTAAAAAAGATTAATTTTTCTGTAGGAACTCAATAGACCAGTGTAGATGGTGTGGTTGGCTCGAGGAGCTGCTGCTATCTTTGTGGCAGTTCCGTTCTCTGATAGTTGGAACTAATACTGAAGCGAATGGTTCAGCTGATCTTCTCACTGTTCTTTAATTATGAATATTAATTATTCTTAATATTAAGATATATTCCCTATGCAAATCTTTTTTTTAATACCTTTTTCTGCTGTCTGCTCTGAGACCTCCTGGACTAATGAATACTCCAGCTTCCAGTTGTAAGATCCCAAGTTCAGTTGTATATATCTGCGTGTTCTTTTGCCTGCATTAGTGATGCCCATCTCTGGGCTACTAAGCAGGAGAAACAGGATGTTGTCTGAGCTTCTTGTTCTCAACTACAAACAGTTGCAATCAAAATACCAGCTGAATTGCCCATAGGGGCAGATGATTTTAAAGGGTAATCTGTCCTAATATTTCAGTTAGCTTTATTACTGTAGTTGGTGAAGAAGCAGTTCTGCTTTCTGTCTTGTAATCAACATTTATAATCCTCGTGGAAAAACTCCAGGTGTGTATATGGCACTCGGTACTAACAGTTGCTATAAAATGCTACAAATTGATTTAGAAAATTACGTAACACACTTCGAAGCTTTGTGTACTGTGCATTAACAATATTTTTGCTTTGTGTATCTCTTCGCTGAGCCATAATGGTATGTCTTTACCTTCTGTTATTGTTGTTGCACACTAGTTTTTACTAATTCGAGGAGTTTCTGCAGTATCTTTCCAGGATACCATAGGAGAAGAAAGCTTGTGGTTATGTTCTTGAGGAGGTTTTTTGGGGTTTGGGTTTGTTTTTTTTTTTTGTATGTGAAAGCTGGAGAAGAACAGTGTCCTTGTAGGATGTAGATAAAGCAGTATATTTTCCAAAAGCATTTAGTCTCCAAGCATACCAGATAATGCTGTCTAAGTCTAGCTATTATGTTGGCAGCCATAATAAGATATTTCAATAACAGAGTAAGTTCTGTTTCTTCTCTTGAGAGATCATTTTTAGGAAATGTGCAGGCATAACAGTTTTACCAAGAAAGAATAAAACAGGTTTCATGTTTGAGGAGTAATGCAGACACTGTAAAGTCAAAGTCATTATGCAGTGTTGCCAGGGAGCTTTCTTGCTCACACCAGGGTTGGATAGATTGGGATAAATGCAGGATTCTTCAAGATAGAAAGCTTAATCTGACAAAAAAAAAAGGACATTTTTTCCTCAACTAACTGTAGATTAGTTAGAATACAACATCATTGCACTGCTCTGTTGAATACTTATGAATGGTTCGCATTTACATTTTCAGCTGTGATTTGAACCTCCAGCCCAACAGAACAGAGAGCCTTTTAAAAAGGTTTTTCAATGCTAGTATACAAGTGGCTTTCAGATTTGCATCGGAGCATGGATTTAAAACTAAATATTAGCCTTTTAATTCAAGACTATATAGTTTGCACTAAAGTGACCTGTACAGTGATTTAACCCATACTGCTTGCAGCTTTATGGCATTTATGTGTAATTCTCTGCTAACTGAATTATGTTCCTGTACAGATACACATAATTATTTATGTTTAACTGCATACTGCAATTTTGTTAAATTTTTTCAACTTCTTGTATTGAAGTTTAAAATTTCTTTTTAGGCCGTAAATTCTAAACAGTAAATAGGGGCTGTTGTGGCTTCTGATTTTTTGCCGTTCCCATCTATAGTGATCTATGAAGCTGCAAGTTTACTAAGCAAGAGATGTGTTGTTCATTATACAGAAATTTTTAGCATTATCATCGGCTGTTCTTAATTCGGAAGTTAGCTGCTTCTTGAGTGTTAAATAGTTCTGAGCATTTTAACTCAAAAGTTGTAAACTTCTTGTATATCTACCTTCTTTCAGCTCTTTATCCTGAGAATCCTCAATAGCAAGGTCCTTTTTATTCAACGGAACTTGACTTATTAATGTTTCAGAGGCCTGTCTCATTTGAGGATAAAATTGAGGGATATGCTTGAGATCAAGGAGTTTATACCACAGCTAAGAAAACAAAAGCAAAAAGCACTTATCTGATAGCGTGCCAATTCCACAGCGTCACTCTCTTCCCACTGAGCAGTGTGGGTGGCAGTTTGTACCTGTACGGGCCCTGTGAATACACTGCATTTATCTCGATTATGATTGTGCTTGCAAGGCAGGCGTTCTTGCTCTGTTGCTTCATTGTTTAAGCTGTCTTTCGGTAGAATCCCAGTTAATAAATGTACAAAATGCCCCCTTCACTCTTTCTGGGTGTAAAATTTCGGATGCAGCCCTTCTAGAGAGATTGCAATTAGGACTCTAATTGAGCAAAGTTTTGTTGTTATTTGTGTTTGTTTTTTTTTTTTAAATAAACTAACATTTGAAATTCTACAAGATAAGATGCACTTTTAGATATTCCACTGAAGTGCAGTCCATGTGATTCAGAGATCCAGAGTTGATTAGACTTCAAGGTATGTGGTCAAAATGACCGTGGTTAGAAGTAATGGTTTTTCGATATGGGTAGTTTATATTCAGGGTGCTTAACATAGGCCTCGGAGAGTAACTGACTCATCCCTGATGCTAGATCTTGCTTCATACTGTAGAAGAGCAGGAAGAGAAAGCAATACTGTGGGTTTTGTGGGTTTTTTAGTTAATTTCTGCCCCCCTTCACAAGAAAAATGCTTTTGGAGAAAACAAAACACGTAGTTACATTAGCCTTAATGCAGGTGCCAGTAGATGGGGCCACTGATACTGCAGTCTCCACTTCTGAACACGAATTTTTGTCTGCCCTGTGAGAGAAGGAACGGATTCAATCTCTAATTGCCAGTTTCACAGTAATTGACCCAAGGCTTTTCCTTATTATATTTCACCTATTTAGAAATACCCAGTCTTAGTATTCTTCCCCATGAAGAAACCTTTTGTGGTCTGTGAGGGAATAACAACAGTGTGCTCTAAGACTTTAATTTTCCCCCAGATATGTTCAGTTTACAGAGATGAAATTACTAGCTCTCAGCAGACAGGTACTTGTTCAGACCAGAGTAAAACTTTATACTATTTGTCTTAAAAGAGATGCCATACAGAAATCCCCTCAATTAAAATAGAACCCCTCAATTCAGTCAAAGTCCTTTTTTTTGTTTAGCTTTTGTATGTGTGTGTGAAGTAATGAGATTTTCACTTCTTCTCTGAGAGTTAATGGCTAATGCTTAATAACATTGTAGTAATTTGCTGTGGCTAGTCATCCTTGACTATGTGTTCCAACAAGCTTGAAAAATGTAAATACTGCTTCGGTTATTGATTAACAAGACAGAATAAAAACTGTTAAATAGGTAATCGGGATACCTGCAATGTTTCACCAGGAGTTCTCTCTATCATCAGAAGGCTGCTTAGCTGTGCCTGTTTCAGAAAGTACGTTCTGATGCTTCTAATCCACAATTTAAAAACATAATTATCCCTCTTTCTGTGAGTGGATATTAAAGATCTTGGAAATGTGCTCTTGTGACATAGCAGTAGAAAGGAGAGGGGAGGCAGTCGTCTACGCCTTGTTTTGGGTTTTTTGTCATGATGCTTTTTCCAGTTTTACTTTGTACCAGGGTAGGCTTTATGTCAACTGTGGGTTTTTTAGATTTTTTTTTGGCAGCATCTTTTTTTTTTCCTTTTCCTTTTCCCTAGCAGTAGGGAAAACCTTAATCCTTCATAAAGTTTAAACTCAAGATCCATTTTTCCCTTACAGGCAATTTCTCACTTGAAGCATGCAAATGTAGGATGTTTCTCTCCACTTAAAACAGTAGGCTTCTTCCACAGTTCATCTGCTTGCGGTATTAACTTCCGTTCTGAAAATAAACGAAAGATACTTTCTTCAGCTTGTTAAGTGATATTATGAGGCCTCAGAGCAGTTGGTTTCGCTGCATTTAAAGGCGATACATGCACATTTATGCAAAGCAGCTGTGTTATATTCTGTGTCCTGTTACACAATGCACAAACCAGGTTTAAGGGCATTTATCCCATTTTTACAACCAGATAGTCTTTGATGAAAAGAAACAAACTAAGGAAAACACAAATTGACTTCCAAAATTCCCTAAGGGAAACATGTGATACTATGAAATGGGTATGCAGGCATGTAATCAAGGAAAGAGAAAAGAAAGTAAGGAAAGTTCTATAGAAAATTCTGAAATATTACCATTTGTGGGAGTACTAGCTGAGTTTTGGGCAAAAGGGTTGCCACATCGCATCTGCTGAGCTTTGTTTTATGTAATAACTACTACATTCATTTAGAAGTTCAGTGCCTTAAAAATAAAGATGCTCTTACCTTCCTGCTTATGTCTGCTGCTACTCAAAAAAAAAAAATGAATTGCAATAACAAATGGAGTTGTCTTGTAAGAATTTTTCATTGTGCATATTGAGGGGGATCTGAATTTTGTTTGTATCTGGTAATTTCTTAAATGTCAAATTCTGTAGTTAAGATGGTGTTCGACATTTCACCTATGGCAGTAGTTTTGAAAGGAAATTAACTGTGAAAGATTCCAATAGGATGTGATAGTATATCTTCTTGTGGTGCTGTTTTAAAATGATATTGCAGTCTGAAGTGTGAGCCCGTAAAATGGCATGCACATAGTTGTGTCAGTATATGCACATTCATTCTTTTCACAAGTAAAATGGTACCCATGCTTGGAGACATAAAGACATTTTTGTCTATAGATTAGTTGTCTGTTTTATCTCCTTTGTTTGCAGGTTGGATTTGCTACCATTTTATGCAAGACTGGTTGCCACACTGCATCCCTGTATGTCTGATGTAGCAGAGGATCTTTGTTCCATGCTGAAAGGGGATTTCAGATTTCATGTAAGTTTTGTTGATTTAGTTTTTTGCATTCAAATTAACCAATCTGATCGTAGTCATCCTTTGGGGAATAAAATAATATTTGATATTATGTTGATGCTAATTCTTAAATTAAGTGAATATTTTTCTGTCATCTGGGCAGATTTGTTCTAGAACACCAAATTTGTACATTTAAAAATAATTTTTTTACAACTTACCATATATATCTGCATATATATTAAAATGAACTGTACAACAGTTACAACAAAAGCTGTGCAAAAATTAGAAACTGTGCTCTGACTGTAAGTGTTAAGTTTTCTGTAAATTAATAACTTGCATTTAAAATGAGAACTGACCTATTCTAACAACATGTTCCCCACTCCAAGGTTACTGTTGTAATATAGTGATTACTATTGTAATGTAGTGCTTAATTCAAATTATTGTTTACAATGTCATCAGCAAAAATTTTCTATTCCTCACAAATGTATTTTTCAGTGTTGTTTCTTTCACTTTATTCTAAATTTTGTAATCGCATTGGTTATGGTGCACAGTGGTGATTCCTTCACTGTTTTCTGAGTTTAATGGCACAGGTTTCAGGGTTGTTGTTTTTATTTTTTTCCTAATTTTGATGTTAAAAATGTGTGTGTATTACTCAGACTTACGTAAGTCTTAACTATCTGAAGTGAACTGTTTGTTCTTGGGAAATGCTATTTCTGTTGAGGAGAAATACAATTTTGTATTTTGTGGATTATGTTTAGACATAGATACAAATTTGTACTTTGTTAGTAAAATTATGCTGTATGTCAGTAGTTTTAAAACAAAAAAGAAAAAAAATCTGCACTTTATTAAACCTGACTTGAAAAAGCTGTTAGTATTTCCTTAGGGACTATACAAGTCTTCCTATTCATATAGACACTACTTATTGATTCTAAAAATACAGAATCTGGAGTATTTAACCACTACTTCACCATGGCAAAGTGAGGGTGACCAGGTTGATGTGTGTCTATAACTGTAGGTTTGTTAGAGTACTTAGTCTTTTTGGGGGGTGAGGGGATGGGGAAAGATATTCAAAAGCTGCTGAAGAAACAAGGTTGTAGAGAGACTTTTAGGAAACTGATAGGTAAAGGTAGAGCATAAGGAACCAAGCAAATATCAAAGACTGCTGAATTCCCAAGTTTATTACGCACATTCGGGTCAAAGTAATTTATAAGAGGTAGGTATTTTTGAGACCCTAAAATCAAATACTTTTTTTAGGTAAGAAAAAAGGACCAGATCAACATTGAAACAAAGAATAAAACTGTGAGATTTATTGGTGAACTTACCAAGTTTAAGATGTTCTCCAAAAACGATACTCTCCACTGTTTAAAGGTTAGTGTTGTGACAGTCCTGTACTACTGTATATGCCTACAATGTATCCCCATCCTACTCCCCTTCATATATTGATTGCTGATGTCATCCATTAATTCATTGCATATGATATTTTAAGCCTGGATGTTTGTTGGTACTGTGTATATACAGTTTTATAGCTGTCCTAGAAGTTAGAATGTTTTAATTTTTGTAATGGTAGGAGCGTATTAAGATAAACTTCCACCTTTGGACATAACCAAATTGCTAATAATTTTCTTTGAAGTATGATAGACATTGCTGCTTATTCATCTGCTATAATTACAAAACTTTCATTATGTTGATTTCAATTAATGTTTTTATAGAGAAAATAACAGTAAGGGGGAGGGGTTAGAGGCAGAAAGCTTTCCAGTGATGCAAGGAGAGGCTTACATGCCATTTTAGCAGGTGCTTTTGTTTGTTGAAGAACAAAACAATTCTTTGGAAAGCATTAATCTCTAGGCGTATCATGTTAATTTGCATGCTGATAAACACTCAAGCTTATCTTTGATGTCAAGTCACAAATTAAAAATGGGTTTTAAAAAATAAAAGTGCCTTTTATAAAAGGTGGTTGAAGACTCACACGAGTTAAGATCACTTCCTGTGGGAATAGTTTCTATTCATTGACTCATTAGGTATTGAAGATGAATTCTTAAAAAATAAAATGTAAAGCTCTATTAGTTTTTAATTATTGCTTAAGTTAAACAATACAATTAAATTAAGATGTACTTTGAGGTTATTGTGTCCTTGTGCAGTATTATTTGGCAGTTTTCCAGCAGGAACTTTAAAACAGGTATGACTAAGTTGGAAGGGGTATGGGAGAGATTGTAGTGTTTGTTTTAATATTGTAGTCTTTTTATGCTTGGCTTAGGAAGCATCCTGTTTTTCAGGTTTCTGGAGCCTAAATTAGGGGTCTAGACTGTTCTTAATACTTTTTTAATGAGATGAATATTTTGAATTTTGTTAACATCTCATCAGTGAAATCAGTTTACCTTTTTTTCTTAAAGAATATGGAACACCACAGTAATGTAAAGTCTGGTAGATATAACTTACTGTTTTCTGCACTTGAAAAAGATGTTTAACATGCTGTGTTTTTATGTAAATGTACACCAGATGCTTCTGTCAGACTTTTCTCATCACCATATTGAAATGGCATGTACTCTGCTGGAAACGTGTGGAAGATTCCTCTTCAGATCACCAGAATCTCACTTAAGAACCAGTGTTCTTTTGGTAAGAGAAAACTCGTTATCTTACTGGGAAGGGTGTCATGCATTGAATTAAACCAATTACTACTTTTATTTTCTGACTTTGTGATGTGGTGTCACCATAACAATGATTGTGACTAATACCTTAATTGTCCGTTACAATGTTTTCGAGCGCTAGTAAGCAAAAACTTTCATTAACTTTTATCTTGAGTGCTCAGAGAGGATGAAGTTCTTGATTCTTTAATAAAAACAGAGACAAGTATGGGAGGACAATGAATCAGTTTTCCTGAAATCTTGCCCCCTCATGGAATGGGGTTGAGATGGACTGGTGTTACATATGTTCAAGTCCTAGGCTACTTTGGCACTCTCAACCTTTGTTTGTAGTCCTGTGGACTTGTATCATCTTGTTATTTATGGCCTGTCCAGTGTTGTCTCAGCTCTGAGATTGCACCTCCTGTGAGAACAGCTTTCTGAAAGTATTCTGGAGAACTTCGGTTGACCTATAAATCTGTTTATGACTTAAAAGAAAAAAAAAATAAATAGTTACATTTCTGAAGCAAAAAAGCTATTGCTTTTGAACTACAAATAATTTGGAGATAGGGCAAAAACAGAGGAGGAGGTTGAAAGAATATAGTAGCTGTACCTGAACATGCCTGAGTTACTATTTGAGGGGAAAAATGGTAGCGAATGGAACTGGAGATTATAAGATATTTCAACTGGAGGTGAAGACAATTGTGAAAGAGGTGGTTTCTGTGCCCTGCATAACAATCTGGGGTTCTGAACTTGAAGAAAAAGTTTATGAAGATACCAGAGGAGGAGGTTTTAGAAATAAGAATTGGTAAATAAGGTAGAAGTGGTATCTGTAAGTCTAGATAAGTACTGGCAAAGGTTTAAAAATAACAAGGAATAGCTTGAGGTCTATTTTAGTGTAGGAATTTGAGCCCTGAATAATATGTTTACTGGTTTGAGAGACAATCCTAAAACTCTCTGTCCAAAGCAAGACACTGAGTCAAACACGGTCAAAGAAGTTCATTAAAGATAGATACTATCAATAGGAAATTGCATTAAATTAAAAGCAGCTTAAGCAGATGCAGACCAACTAATAGATGGTGGTGTTGTATTAGATGTCTGACTAGATGTTTTAATATTCCGTTCAAATCCATGCACTGCAGGAAGAATATAGACATGTATCTGCAGTAAAGACAGTAGTCCCTATGTTTTGGGGAGAAAGTGGACATAGTTTGCCTTCTGGAAGGGAGCGGTTTGAGTGTTTGGCATCTCTTTCTAGAGACACAGCTCTTAAGCTGAATATCACTCTCTGCGCTGTATTTATCTCCTTTCTTATCAACACAGAGGCTTATGCTTGACAGGTCTTTCTCTTGAATCTATGGCTTCCCTTCTCATGCTGTAGAGTTAATGGAGAAACAGTTGTTGCATACTTGGGTATATTGTTGTACAATTTCTTTTCCACAAAATGCTGTTTCTTTCTGAACTTCTTTGAATGTCATAGCATTTATTGTGGTGGTAGTCACAAGAGGAAAGAGATGAGCAAATTAACTGCAAGTTCTTGGCTCATGCTTTTTGTTGCAGTGTACTTTGTATCTTGAAAGGTTTGAATCTCTCAGTTTTCTAAAGGTTTGCCAGCTGATGTGTTTTATTGTTAAATACTTGATTATGGAAAGGAATATATTTTTCCCCTGAAAACACTGTTCCATTATCTTTAAAAGACACTTTAGTCATTGCTACCATTTTTTGTAGTTACTAAAAATTTTAGAAGTCAGGAAAAATTAAATAACTTAACCAGAGCTGCTTTTCATAACTGACTGCTTTTATTCTTATGCAATACAAAAATGGTGATTGTTAGCTGTATTGCTGAAATCTGCTGGATGAGTGCTAAACACGACTTAACTGTGAAGTACAAGACAAACCACAAACACTGTTTCAATAACTAAAGCTTAGGACCTCACAAAGTTTTGGATAAGTAGTCTTTTCTTATGCATTGAGGAACCAGGAGAAGAGAGATGGCAAATAAGTTTGGACTATCTATTGATTAAGATGTACAATAGGCTAAATAGATTTATATTCTACAACTATCTTAATAGCTGCATCTTCTAATGTTGCCCTATAGAAACGGTAGAGATTAATTTTGATTTAAATAGTATACAAATTGGATCATACTCTTATGGTGCCAGTTAGTGTGAGCTGTAGAAAAGATTAGTCCCAAAGCTAGCTAATTACGATCTTGTTGTAAAAATCTAGGTAAATGTAAAGCTGATCTTATCGCTGACTCTTATGGGTAGAATTAAGGCCTGTTGATCTTCCAAATAATTACTGGTCTTAATCTTTACTGCTGACGGTATATTATGTGATAAGATGCCAAACAGGCTGTATGTCTCCTATTAAAGACAATATTACTTTTTCCTGGAGTGGAAGAAAGTCATAGTTAAGAATGAATTTTAAAAGTAATTAAGGGAAAATTAATTATTAAGAAGTAAAGCATTTTAGAAGAGTGTCGCAAACTTAGTAGCACCAAGTGACTTATTCCAGAGAAACGTTTAATGATCACATTCTGGTTTTGTAGATCTACTATCATGTTTTGCAAAGTATTTAAAGATTCTGTTTTTATCAGAGCAATGTTTATTTCTGTTAATCATTCTTCTTGGCAACTCTTTCAAATTTCATGTCCTTTATGTAATTTGAAATATTAATGTAAAACTAACTTGGCTTTAGGATTGGTCTGTTGATAAATGGATTATTTGAATTGGTGCTTTGGAAGGAAGATCAGCATTATCTTGATCTATGTTTCTGTGACGTAAGCATGTTAAAATGTCAAATTCTTGTGTTATGTTGTTGTGGTCTTGTTAAAAGACTTTTTAAAATTTTGGTACTAAAAACCTTCTGATGTGTTTTTGACCCTTTACCTTAGACAGTTGTGTCAAATTGTCTTTTTAAGCTTTAGGGCAAGACAACTTGTATTTATAAACATGTAGAACTTAAGCTACATGGTGGCTCATTTCTTGGGGTGACTCCTTTTATAGAGAAGTTGAAACTGTGCAAGAATGTTGTTTGTACAGACAGAGGCTGTGACAAAGTAATTGTAGTTAGAATGAGCCTGTGTTATTTCACTATAACAACAGTATGCTTCCAAGAAATTTAAAATTTTGATTTTGAACTGTTGGAACAAGTAGCAGAGCGGTGTAGGTAGTAAAGGGAAGGAGGAGCTGAGCAGTTTCAGTATTTTACTACAATATGTTAATTTAAATGTCAGTCATGCTGAACTGCTGTTCTGAATTGGGCTTTTCCTGCTGCTTAGGTTTTACTTGGTGACTTCTTTTTTTTTTTTATTGTTGCTGCTTTGCAAAAATTCTATTTCTTGCAATGCAAATGGGTCTTACAAGGTTGGGGGTGGGGGCCAAGACTACTAGCCAGAGGAGCAACTCCTAATTCTCACCAGATTTTCTTTTGAAATGCACCTGCAATATATGTTATGTGCAGATAGGTTTTGTTGCTCAGCAAGAAAAAAACCAAACCAACCCTTTTACGATTTTAACTTGGACGTTTTAATGTTGTTTGTGATCTCTTTTTATCAAAGGAAAACCAGAAACCTAATCTTCAAATGTGATGCTTTATCTTTGTAGTTCTTCATTTTAGCCTAGTGAAATGAAGACTCAAAGTAGTTAATTAGCTTTAAGTGCTTTAGACTGCAGGTCTTACTTTTTTCTTCTGAAATGTGTCAAAGTTTTTGTTATTGTAGGCAGTGTATTGTTATGGTTTCTCTTTCCTGCCTGTCCATCTGACTTGATGCCTTAAATGAAAAAGGATTGAAACACACACAGTTGCTTAAAATGATGATGACTTTTAACAGAGATTAAGACTAATACCATCCACTTAGAATACATACTTGGGATTGCTCAAAAAACTCATAAATTACAGTAATTCTGAGACTTGGAGTAGTACATATTGTCTGTTCTGGGAGCCTGTTATTTCCAGTATAATGTGCAACTTTTATAACAGGAAAATATACAAATTATATAGTTTTAGGGTTTTTAAAATTTTATTTCTCAGCCCTTCTGCCATTTTCTCTGTTATGCTTTCCTTTGCCCCACTTCATTTTTCAGTTTATAGTAAAACATAATAAATGTCATTAAGGCAGCAAAGATGTATTTTCTTGTGATGCATCTAGAAAAGGTGAAAAATTTACAAAGGTAATATTAACATTTATGATGCAGCAAGGTTTTGGGACTTTCTACTGTAAGTGGTTTTTCCTCATGTAAAACATTTTACGTACTCGATTGTTAAAAGTACTGTGCATCTGTAAATCACCTGTAGGTAAACTTGCTACTACTTGACAGGAATTTCCCATTTGGAAAGGAACAGTCTCGGTTAGGGAATCAAAGGAGAGACCAATTGTGTCATGGAAAAGGTTAAAAATGAAAGGCCTTTAGGGGTGGTGTAAGATTGAGACCTTCCTGGCAATGAATTTATACAATGTAGGAGGAAAATTACGTTATTTGTTGGGTTGCTATGTTACACAAAACTACTCTTCCTCATTGAATTAGCGGCTGAAACTCGAGGTTAAGGAGCTGTTTTGAGTATGTTTACATTTCAGTTGAACTGAACCACTGCTTTGTAAAAGAAACTTTAAATTGAAGTTTAGTGGAATGTCCACCAGCATGAAAAATTGTTCTTTTTCACCAATGATCAAAGAAGATTTAAACTCTTTTCATTAGTTTACTGGACTGCATGAATGTATATACTAACATTTGTGTGGAGTGATAAAACAGTACTTACAACAGTACTTATTTTTGTTTGTCTGTTTGATGCTGTAATTTAACTGTGTAGCCAACCTCTATTAAATAATAAAGTCTAAACCAGTGCTGTTTCTTTTCCTGTTTAACCAACCTTAGAGCGATTTAGAATACATGGGATCATACGATGTGCATAAAAATGTAATGCAACTTACAGAATTACACACACATATACATATAAATACACATACTCATATTAAAAATTATTTTATGATGGAATTAAGCTCATCCTCATCTTTAACTGTAAAAATCAGTAGCTTGGAACAGCTACTTTAGTTCTTGTACAGAATTTTTAAATACAAGAAATTTTTAAAACCCACAAAATAAATCTAAAAGTACATGTCCAAAATGAAGTGTGGAGAAAAGATTGTATTCAGTGAACAAAATTAGGACAATCCTGACAATTAAGCACAGTAATTAGTGTTGATGTAGTAATCTTTTACATGTCTGATTTTTCCTGAAATACTGCTTTATGGCAGGTACTGTTTTTCTTTTCTGCTTGGGTAAACAGCAACAACGGAGCATGTAATAAAAAAAATGCTATTGCCTAAACCACTGAAAAGTCATGTGAAACCATCAATATAAACTCTCTGGAGTTGCATACTGATGTAAAAAGTAGATTGCCACTCTTAGGATGATTCACTATGCTTGTGTCAAGACATCAGTATTTCAGCTACAAAATCGTGTTTTGAACAGAGTTGCTAATAATCTTATTAACCATTTATCTAAACAGTAACATTTAGATTTCAATTTAAACTTTAAATGCTTTCCTGAAACCTTTTTCACAACAGGTGAACCGTTATAAAAATAGGGGTTGTAATGAAAAATGACCTTGGAAATAGCAACACAGAACCACATACATGCTTTGTCCTTTCTTCTTTCTACTCAAGCTTTTAACTTATTTTCTGCAACCTTTCATGTTTCCTTTATCCCAAATGTAACTGTAAAAGCCTTTGGCTTCAAAAATGTAGTAAGTCAATATCTTTAACTGATCATTTGCATTTATTTCCAGGAACAAATGATGAGAAAAAAACAAGCAATGCATCTGGATGCACGCTATGTTACAATGGTAGAAAATGCCTACTACTACTGTAATCCCCCTCCAGCTGAAAAAACTGTGAAGAAAAAACGTCCTCCTTTGCAGGAATATATTCGTAAGCTTCTTTACAAGGATCTCTCCAAGGTCACCACAGAGAAGGTAAATCTTTTTGAAATCTTTAAGACAGATTTTATTGGAAGTGATACAGTGCTAACTTTTGAAGGGCCTGGGAAGGGTTGTAATTTTTTTAATTGCAAGGAAGAGGAATCATGTTTGTATCACTGACTGTTAAGATAGTTTAATTTCTTTTATTGTAACACATGGAAGCTCCAGTCATGGACCTGCATTCTCCACAGCATTAAGTGCTGAACAAATATTGAATAAAATGAGATTCTTTGTGCTAAGTATCTTGTGTTCAGAGTAAGAGAAGAAGACTAAATACAGACTGTAAGAGCAAGGAGATTATGGAACATATTTGGACAGCTTGATTAGTAGCTGGAGGACAGCAGTTGGATTACATATATAAAGTTTTCCGTAGCTACTGCAGATCTGGAGGATGCTTGAAAAAGTGAATGAAGTTGCTTGCACATGCTTACAGGGATTTCATTCCAACTGTGAGAGACAGGGGATGACAGTGAGTATCTTGATACTGCCTGCTAAAATGTTAAGCTTGTTTTAAAATTTGGTTTAGGTCCTGAGACAGATGCGTAAGCTGCCTTGGCAGGATGCGGAAGTAAAAGACTATGTTATATGCTGTATGATCAACATCTGGAATGTGAAATACAATAGTATCCACTGTGTAGCCAACCTCTTAGCAGGTTTGGTCCTTTACCAGGAAGATGTCGGAATTCATGTTGTGGATGGAGTACTAGAGGATATTCGACTGGGAATGGAGGTAAACCACCAACATTCTTATTAAGCTATACTCACCTATTTGTGTTGAAAGGAAAACGGTAAAATAGTCTTGCTTATAGAAAGGAATCCTTGGATTCTGGATTTTTGTCTGATGACTTTTCTACCTCAGTTGTTTGCTTTATGTAGGTTTATTTAAATTGAAAAAACAACACCCCTCGCAAAACCCCAACAAACTGCTAAGATTACTAGGACAGTTGTTTTGCCCCCATTATCGTAGTAAGAGCGTACAATTTATTCTTTCACAGCATAGTCAGATTCACGCAACTTCAAGTAACTTTGGAGACTAGTCCATCTTTTGGTAGATGGTATAATTACAAGAATAATTGGGCAATGAAAAATCATCATAGGTTTAAGATAAAGTGTATGCTAAATGTATTTGAGCTTTATAATAACTACTAGTTGACTAACTTTCATAACTACTTTTTAATGTTTAATTTTGTGTAATGTATGTAGCCATAAATAACCATCTTTTATTGTAATGAATTCTATCACATTTTTATACTGCTTTTTTTCTTAAAGAAAAAAAAAAAGAACTCCAACAAACCTTTTACAAAGATTCTATTGTGTTTGCATGATAAAGTGAATTTTTTGTTCTTTTTTGATAAAGGTTAACCAGCCAAAGTTTAACCAACGGCGGATCAGCAGTGCCAAGTTTTTGGGGGAGCTTTACAATTATCGAATGGTGGAATCAGCTGTAATATTTCGAACTCTATATTCTTTCACATCATTTGGTGTGAACCCTGATGGTAGTCCTAGTCCACTGGACCCTCCAGAGCATCTTTTCAGAATCAGACTAGTTTGTACTATCCTTGATACCTGTGGGCAGTATTTTGACAGAGGATCCAGCAAACGAAAACTTGATTGCTTCCTTGTATATTTTCAGGTATTCTCAACTAAATTTTATATAGTTCTGTAGATTTCTTGAACAAGCTAACGTAAGTCAGTCTGTTATATATTTCTCTTATTGTTCTCTAGCACTGTAATTTTTAGAACGCTGTCTATCTGATAACAGTTTTATTTTAAAGTGGCGTCTATGTTCAGTTACATGTAGATGTTACTGTTCCGACAAACTTGCAGAACACTGGGGTAGCAGTTGTTGCACTGAAATGTTTAGATTCCCCCCTTCAGGGGGTCTCAGCAAGTGGAAAAATAGGCTGACAGAAACCTTGTGAATTCCAGCAAAGGTAGGTATCAAGTCTTCCAGTTGGGAATAGCTCCATGCAACAATACCACCTGGCACTGACTACCTAGAAAGCAGCTTTGCAGGAATAGAACTGTGACTCCTGGACTGTATGAGCATGACATTAAGTTTGCACCATTAAGGTGATGAAGGCCAACAGCATACTATGTTGTCAAGGGTGTAGCCAGCGGATTGAGCAAAGTAGTATGGTTTTGTGTGGGTGTTGTGGGTTTTTTTTGTTTGTTTTTCCCTTCGCTTCTGCTTGGCATTTGTGAGCCCACATCTGGAGTACAGTTTCCAGTTCAGGGCTTCCTGGGAGATGAGAGGAGACACATCAGCAGGCTGAGTCCAGTGGAGGGTCACCAAAATGATCAGGAGGCTCTCAGTGCTCACATTGTGGGTTTGCTGAGCTTGGAGAAGAGAATGCTAATTAGGTTGCTGTCCTCAGCTAATAGTGTTTGTAGAGAAGGAGTCAAGTACTGCTCAGGCATGCACGGTGAAAGGGTGAGAAGTAATGGTCACAAGTTGCAGCAGGGAAAGTTCTGACCCAGTAGATGTAACAGAGAGGGGAAAGGATTTCATAACGGGAGTGTTTAAACACTGGAATGGGTTCCTCAGAAAATGGGGAATTCTGGTCCTTGGAGTTCATGCTAAAACTCTTTGGACTTAATTCCTTTTTCTTTCTACTTATATCTTTAAATTATACTAAAACAAGGATATTAAGAAATAAAAATTAAGGTGATAACGACTTATTTCAGACCTTCAGGATGCATATCCTTCATCTGTATATGAGATGTAAAATGATGTTTTGAAGTACAGTATGGTCCTGTTTTTAAATCCAAAATAAACTTGTTGGTGAAAAAGTTCTTTTATTTTTGTTACACCTCCAATTTCAACAAGCGTTCCTTTTGACCATGTCACCTTTTAAGTAAAGAATCTGTTGCTCATACTTCATTTTCAGATGCAATTTTTGCAACACCTTTGTTCCCAGATTCTACTGTTACATTCACTTAAGAGCAGCATTTATTTTTTACAATTTTATTGAGGGCTATGCGTTAATTTGTTATAAAGCAAATTGGTTAGTCACTTCATGCTAGCTGCAGTCTTAAAACTTTTTGAGATGCTTCCTCCCTTTTCCCCATAATGTGCCTTTGGAGGAATTCATTTTCTTGGAAATATATGGAGGAAGGAATTGAAAGCTGCCCGATTGTTAAGTGCTCATCTTTCATAGAAAGAATCTACCCTTAGAAGGCGCTTTCTTTTTCAGTGCTTTTTTGCTCAGTCTTCATACTTCTGACAATTGTTATGATAAAAGGAGCATATTCTTAATGTTTGTGATATCCAATCAAACAGTGTTTAGTGATACCAAAATATCTAGTAGTTGTATGAAATAGGATGTGAAATCTTTTGCTTTTTGTACCATACAAACATGGCTAGGCGTTACAATCTTCTTAAGTTAAATAGTTCATGAATGTCAGTGTGCATATAATTTATTTGAATATTTTGTATTCTAGCGATACGTTTGGTGGAAAAAAAGTCTGGATGTTTGGACAAAAGACCACCCATTTCCTATAGACATAGACTATATGATCAGTGATACACTGGAACTGCTGAGACCAAAGATAAAGCTCTGTAATTCTCTGGAGGAAGCTATCAGACAGGTGCAAGACTTGGAACGAGAATTCTTAATAAAATTAGGTAAGAAGATGTGCAAGGGAAATGAGGTCTTTTTGACAATTCCTATATTTCTTAAAATTATCTTTTGTATGATGATAACAGATAACTATTGTTATTCTCATGATATGATCTTTTTATTCTCATAATAAAAATATTTTTGTAACTTGTTTGCATTTTTCTGATCACCATAGAGATCATATAGAATCTCCATAACTCTGTTAATACAGTCGCATTTGGAGAGGGGGTATGTGTATGTGTGTGTATATATATATTAGTATCTGGAGTAGTATTGTGCAAATGAATGATGAAGAAAACCATGAATTTCATCACAAAAATTTAGGAAGCACGCTGTACTACAAAAAGCAAGGAGTATCTCCACGCTCAATTACTGCAGCCTGTTGGAAACTAGCTTGATCATTTTGGTAAATCAGTTGCTTGCAACTCTGTGTTCCTTCCCCAGTTCTGGATTTGACTAAAGTGGCTGTGTCAAAGTAAGCATTACTGTAAGACTACAGTAAAAGAATATATTTTCTTTTAAAACTGTCAGATATTTTGAGTCATACACTTCGTTTGGAATAATTTTGAATGGGCTTTGTGTTTCAGTAGGAAGGAGGATCATAGAATCATAGAAGGGTTTGATTGGAGGGGCCCACAAACATCATCTAGTCATCTCGTTCCAATCCCCCTGCCATGGGCAGGGACACCTTCCACTAGATCAGGTTGCTCAAAGCCTCATCCAACCTATGGATGACTTCCTTTTCATGAATTGGAACTTTGTTTGGATTATTAAAGGGTTTTTTTCTTAAAATGTGTCTGTTGGCTAGGTTATGTGCTAGCTTGTAGTTCCTGCTAAGATTACAGTGTTGTATATTTATAAATCTTGCTGTGTTAAAAATCAGTTAATTTCAGGAGAAAAAAGTTGGGCTTGCAGCACAGGACAGTTGACAAAATACTGGTTAGTGTGTATCTAAAACTACTATCATCATATTAACTTTAAACCTTTTGTACATATCAGTTCTTACTAATTATTGGCTACTACTGTGCTCCTTTCTCGTTAAATGGAGTTGTTTTGTAATCTTCTGTTTTTATTTGAAGACAACCTTGTTCCTTTAAAGCTTTTATATGTAAATTTTACACTTTATAAATGTTAATTAGAGCCTTAATAGCACTTCATCTAATTAGATAAGTTCAATTTTTAAGAATAATCTTTTAATCCAGTGGGATGAGTATGTGTAATTACCAGGTAAAACGTTCTAACTTCTGTTTTAGGAGGAATTAATCTTTTTAATATGCTATTCGTTTAATTGACATGCCTTAAAACTACCTATGCAGTAACTGAAATGCCGATAAAAATTCCTTATGGTATCATCTAAATTACTAGCTTTTATGGTCTCAAAATGGTAACAAAGAAGTAATTTACAACTAGCTACAGAAAGTGTAATATTCTTTTGAAAGATAGTCAGCACTTCCTTCCTACAAATCATAAGAACTTCTCTGAATCACCACCACTATAGCAGTTGGATTCAGGGTAGGTAAGGGGGACATTTGTGGTCACTGAATGTGAGCAAGTGTTGGAGAACATTTTATAGTGTTTGTTTTGGCACAAGCAAAGCCCATCAACAGTACAGCCTCTACTATAGGGGGCTGTGTTGTGTGTGTCCCGTCGTGTGTCGCCCCCCCCCCCCCCCCACGG